TTTGCAGAGGAGTCAAATACTTATTTGCCTCATTAAAATGCAAATCAATTTCTAACATTTTTGACATGCGTTTTTCTGGATTTTGCTTTTTGTTATTCTGTCTCACTGTTCAAATAAACCTACCATTAAAATTACAGACTGATAATTTATTTGTCAGTGGGCAAACGTACAAAATCAGCAGGGGATCAAATACTTTTTTCCCTCACTGTATATCCTGCAGCTCTGGCACAATCCACACAGTATTAACGTCCGAGATCTGTTTATTGCGCCATGCACAGCAAATACGACGGCAAAACTACACAAAACACTGCCGTGGAATGTTTAGTGCTCATATGGATTTCTAAATAATCCTAACCAACGCTTTACACAAGCTCAGTCAATTTAAAATGGCCCGTATTAGATTTTTGGAAGGTAACTCAAAGTGCACACAAATGTTAAGTCGATGCCTCCACAACCAGTTTGCCCACTTACCCTGCCAATGACATTTTTCGACATTGATATTTACAAGAATTAAATATTAACCGGGCTACTCCCCCTTCCACAAGGGGTGAACTTTAGATTATGAAATTGGTATCGTCTCGCAATGGCCGTGTTGGCACATTTGTGGTATTTCTGCTCGTGTGTGTGTGTGTGTGTCCTATATATAAACACCGGGTTGCACCTCAATAGTTTTCCATCTGGTTATAATTTACATTCATAATGCCAGTTGCATGTTTAAATTAATGATATGCATTGTTCAACAAGTACCCATTCACAGTAATCAACTCCTTTTCCATAATAGAAGTTTTTTTGGGTTAGATAGCGTAAACCCGCCACCACCCGACACACCCAATTAGCAAGGTTTGTCACGTAAACAAAACATACCAATTTCGATTTAAAGCTTTTGTGACTGCAATGATTCATCTTCTTTGGTTCTTTCGGTAAAGTCACGTAGAATGACAATAAAATAATAAATTGATAAAATAAAATAACACAATAATATTCTCACGACGTTTCGGCCACAACACAAGCGGCCACAACACAAGCGGCTGCTTGTGTTGTGGCCGAAACGTCGTGAGAATATTATTGTGTTATTTTATTTTATCAATTTATTATTTTATTCTCATTCTACGTGACTTTACCGAAAGAACCAAAGAAGAAAAAAACATACCAATTCGCTACTGGTAAAACACACCGGTGTGTTGGAGAGTAAACCCACAACATTTACAATTCGAGTACGACGTTTCGCCAGTAATTGCAACCAGCAACATCGGGCGACAGCCGAATTTCGTGGAGAAATCCTCCTGGTTTTTTTTTATGGAAGTCTGTCTGTAAGACTCTGGCCACAAAATCCATACATAATTCCAACTTTACAATTTCTGTTTTGCTGGTAGTTTAAGAATTTGGGTTATTACATTATCACACAACAGTCTACTCTTGCCAATCAATGTCACAGGGTCATCAATGTCCACTTCAGGGTTCACAGGACTCTTTTGTAAGTGGAAAACTAGGTATATTACGAGGTAGCCGCTGGAATCGAACCGCCAACCCGATGCTTGCTTGCTTGCTCAGTAACAAACGCACTGACCACTAGATTGTTCAACCGCCCACCAACCAACAGGTGTCCCTTGTTGCTGCATTGAGGACACAGCGCACCACAGGATGCTGTTGTATTTTTAGCAAGGTGCACAACTAATATTTGCCCTTCCCAAGGCCACTGGAAAAATAACAAAATGAGGAAGATCCACCACATCTGGCTACAGCCACCACAAGGACTATGCAGCAGCAGCAGCAGCTTAGGACCTGTGGTTTGTCATGAAACTGAACTGACACCACTGAGATCCTGAGTCCAAATCCAGCCACCACAGAAACACAGGTTGTCACGTGCCGAGGAGTTGATGTCTCAGCCCATGACAACAGCAAAAAAAAGCCATTGTAATATTACATTGAGGTATTCACTCAATCTAGCAAGTTAGATTCTGAAAGCTAAACGGTGTATTGTTTTAATTGCCGTGTGATGATAATTATTTGCAGGATAGGTAAGGGTGTGGATATGAGATTACTGATGTGAATTCTAAAGTGCGTCTGTGATGCTAACAAGTCGAGGTGAATTTGAACTCCACACCGAGTTAAAGATGGAAATGTCTTCATATCATCCACGACGGAAAATAAGTAAGCAGAATGATAGGGCCAATCCCGTAGAGGACTCAGCGGTGATATGCACACATGCGCCTGAAAAATGCTCGCATCACTTAAGTTCATATCGACACCTAATTACATTGTGCAGCAGCAGATGCCTCTTTGGTGTGTAACCACCTTGATTACATTCACATCAACGGCAAGCTTATTTAAAATAATGCACCGATGTGATCAACAACAGGAGTAGCAGCGTGATACTAAGTGGACCAAAATGCACAGTAATTTTTTTTTGTAGCATTTAGTTGTGTGCATTAATATGCAGTTGTGCATCCAGTTTATGTTCAACGTGCCCTGCAAATTATGCACAAGCCACACAAAAGACCAATCATGAACAGTTTACACAGGCTGCAATTACGTTTCTATGAGAAATAAACAGCTGTCGCAAGAGCAGTTTTTTTTTCTATGACAGTCTAACACAAGGATGTTAAAAATAAAAATGCTATATCTGGTTAAAAGAAACCAGTCGAATAACATAAAAATGTTGACTTAAAGCTTTCGTGACTGCAGGAATTCATATTCGTTGGGTCTTTCGGTAAAGTCACGTAGATAGGTTCAAAGAAAATAATAATCTCACATTAACATAGCCACCTCAGGGCCCCCGCCGTGAAGGCCTCAACGATCTTACATTATCATGCTAATTTATTTACTGGGCAGCCCTTTGATTGGTGGGAAAACCCACCACCGTCGCTGCCCACCACTTACATTAACATTGGCTGCTGACATTTTGGCTACGCCCATTTCAAACCTTTATAAACAGTTTACCTTTAGACGCTAACCCCCTCTTCCTGATGACGAATGCTTGTGTTGAGATCGAAACGTCGTAGTTTTTTGTTTGTTATTTTTTGTTATTTTCTTTGAACCTATCTATGTCACTTTACCGAAAGACCCAAAGAATATAACATAAAAATGGTATGCAAATGCATTTTTATAAAAAAAACATTTTGCACATACAGTATGTCAGCATGTGTATTACACGAGTGAGTAAGGTCTATAGAGCCTTCATAATGGATCGCAGTCCTGCCCTGTTTTTATTTAGCCTGTTTTTGCATTTGGGGGGGTCACGAATGCCACGCCAGGAACGTTGTTAAAAAGCTACTGCTTTTTCATGCAACACAGAAGCTGTGGCTTGAAACAAACTTGATGGACGAGTGCCCTACAGGCTGCTCCTGCACCATGGCTCTAAGGTGCCCATGGACCGCAGAAATGTCTGCGTCAGTGCTTCTCACAGCAGGCCGAAATGCCGGGCAGTAAGCCTGCAAGACTTGAGGTTTCTCAAAAAAAGTCAGTGTGCATTTCATCTTCATACGGGAGTTTCATTTTTAATCACAAAGATTGCTTGGCAAGACTTGTTGTGCGTGCATGCTCTGGAGTCTACTTCTACCAGAGCCCAACTACGCACAGGCATACATGTGCAAATTATTTTTTGGCAACGATGCTGCCAAACATTCACTTACGAATGTCTCAACGTCGCTCTTCATTTCAGTATTATAGTATACAAACTGAAGTCACATTGTGCTCATGACATAATACTCAAGTTACAAGCGTTTGTGCGAATCCCAATCGGATGTTGACTTACCCCTTGTGGTGATTAATTGATGGGAATGCGATGTTGGATGTCTTGTGCAAAGTCTGATCTCTGCCATAGGAAGGTGGAATTTACTCAATTGGCTCAAATCTGCCATTGGCGATAAGCAATGCCCCATGCTCATTTGAACGGATAAATGCGTCCCCAATTACCTGGCTGAATCAAGGGTGGCATTTCTCTGAAAAATATCTTAACAAAACCCTGATATTTTCGTAAACACCATTTAGTCCATATTATACTTACAATGTTATCTATATATGAAAATATAAATAAACCCATAAAAACAGGTAAGAATACACCTCTGTAACCACCAAAAATCACATGCCAATTTAGAAATACATAATTCAATGCAGCAGTAATTGTACGGTGCTAAATTAGGCCTGCCTGGCACATTAAGTTTCTGCGCAGCTTGAAAAGGCAGTTACAAGTCAGCATTGCTTTGTATGCTGTTCAATTTTTGAGCTTGGAAAATCCAGTTTTGTAAATGTTTAGGGATCCTCCAAAAAACTATTATATGGAGGACAGTATATATGGCAAAGTTGTTTCGCGGGTGCACTGTATTGCAAAATTTGGCAAAAACCGTGCAAACTACTTACCAACAAAAAAACTCCATGTAATAGGGAGGCGTAGAATTTTTTCATCAATGCAAAGAATAATGCTGCCATTGTCTTTTGTTTAAAGGAGAATGCGGTTTTGTTAAGCAAACAAAGCAAAGACTTCCAGCATCTGTAATTACTCAAATCTGGCACCATGCCATGCTGCCCAACTTTTCCTTATTTTCCAAAGCACTTCAGGGCTCTCCAGAAATCTATACACAACCATAATCAGTTGGGCCATTACGCAACAAATACATTTTCCAAGTTTTGAATCCGTGCCCAAATATAATGGTCAATACACGCCGTAAAACTAACCTGAGTGGCCTTACTAATTTAGTTGTCCTTATTTTATCACAATAATAACCTCTACAAAATGCTTTTAGTGTTTACAAATCAATGCTGCTACTTTCTTCCCCTTGCTATGGAGCTATTGGACTCCTAAGCATAGGTGCTCACAGCACTCATCTCAAAAGAGGAAAAGGCACCACGATATGAAAAACGGAAAAGGTAGCACGATAAGTTTAACACGTAGGCTTTCGCGACCAATATTATTCATAATAAACGTTTTTGGGTTAGAGCACGATACAAGAGCAACAACATTTTTTTTCCACGCGCCCACCAAAGGAGGACATGGTACTCACGTTTACCAGGCCGAAGTAGTGCTCATTGATAGGAAACTGCTCAGGACCAATCTCTTTCTCCAAAGCAGAGGCATTAGCGCCCTGAGGAAAAGGAGGAGACATTTCAAAGTGCATTTGCATGCTTCATCAGGTCATGGTCAATACACACATTTTACATTGCATCTTCTCACACCGATAATTCACAATGCCCGCTTATCACGTTATTGAATTAGTTTTTTTTTTACAATTCACTTTAATAAAAAGAGTTAAACTTTATGAGAGCCCAATAGTGTTCGTCCTATGAGTGGTCCCACGGTTCATGACGAAGATTAGCACCCTCTTCATAGGATCTGGGAGACACTTTGACTTGACAGAGCGAACGTATTTTAAATTTAAACACAAACAGTACACTTACAGAGACACTTGTCAACACGTGTTACACACATACAGACTAGAACACACTTCATGGTAACATACGTAGTACGTGTGAACGAACACCTTTACACGTACACAAATGGGATTTTTCAGTCAGCAGTGGACTGGATGACACTTGGACTCAATGAAGGAATAAGGGGTCACGTTGAAATCACGGTCAACTCGGCCAATGATCCCTCTGGGTACATAAACTGAACACAACACGGTGAACTGCTCCACTTGTTATAGGGGTCAAGAGGGGGTCGAATGAATAAGAGACTGAACATGTCACTTCCAATACTTTTTCTTTAAGGTAATGGGCATTGCCGGGGCTCATTAGTGAGCAGCGAAACTGACACCCTTGCTTCACTGCCCTAACTACAGTATTAGACGGGACTCTACGGCTATTCACAACGCATGACTAACAAAAGTGATACACGTGGCTCGTGTGTGTCACAGACCCCCCCCCCCCCTTACCCATCCAATTACAAAGCAATGTAAAATGTTACACGATTGGTTTCTGAACAGTATCTCACCACGAATTCGATTTCAGTGCCCTGTAAACCACGTTCGGCGTCCTTCCGGCTAACAAAAGTGTGGGTTAACGGTATAAATAAAGCGACTGGAATTAAAAAAAAATGTAATTACTGTCAATACTTTCTGTCTTGTTATCGGGGAAACCTCGCCAAGTCTCAAAGCCCCTCTCTTTTCATGGGATTCCTGCATTGGGATGTTTGACCCGTTGGGACTTAATGGCGTTTTAACGTGACAGCCATAACGTAACAGATAATGGTCGGTGTAGGTGCCGCTGGTTTTACCCCTCTACTGTATTTACCTCTTCAATGTTTATCCGACATCTCTCTTTTTTGTCATTCCTATCTATAGATATGTCGCGTTACGATTACTATCCTCTCCGACTTGTTAACCTCACGTTGCTCTATTTGCATGGCGGTGTGGTGGTCTTCGGGCGTCCAATCACACAAGCGAGGTTACTAGGGTGTAACGAAGCAACACTAATTGACATACACTCTCATGTGCACAGACGCTCGTACACGCAGCGACGGGGACACACACACAGAAACACGCATTTAAACACCCAGACATCAACGCACGCAAACACATAATACACACAGCGATACAAAAGACACACGTGAAGGGTAAAACACATACGCACAAAGACACAACAGCCGCCATTCGCCACGAAGTGGCAGTCACGTCACCACGTCGCTTGTGCCAGGCTAGGTGCACTTTAAAGACACGTGAAGTATCGAATGCTCGCTGGCAGGTCACGGTACAGACCCAGGTGCTATAATAACTGGTTGACTGAGATGATGGACGCATAGACACAAACTCAAAATACATATGCGGTAAACACACAATGAAAAAGACGTTGCAACGGGCATAGATAAAGAGAGAAATGCATTACAGACACGTACACGGTAAAAAAAACACACACAACCACAGACACGACATACAAATCATGCGCGTACATAGACATCAGCACAGGCGCACCCGCGCAGACGCACCACACGCCCAAACTCAGGACACAAACAAACGTGCACACAAAAAGCACACAAAAAACACGCACGCGTACATACAGACGCACTCACGCAATCACGCACAGACACGCAAACTCAACTGGTGCCCGGCACCACATTCATAGAAAGTGCTTCTTCCGCAGAAAGTAACCACCCAACTCCCACATCCTAGTCAGCGACCCCTTCACCAAACCCAAACGCGTAGCTGCAGGAACGGCATCACGCGCACGCAACACACTCATTCACACATGCGCACGCACAATAATTCTGCCGCCTCCCCGGCCTTCCTTCCAAGAGAGGGCGGCGACCGGGGCCACCAAGGCCAGGCTCGGGCATCTCTCCCGGGCACGACATTCAGGAAAAACGACAGGCATCGCAGAGGCCTAATCGCGACACCGTCCACCCCCACCACTCCAGTCTCCTTTGCAAAGACCCCGCTGTACAAACAAGCGGCGAGCCCGCAGCATCGGAGCACTCGCGATGAGTTGAACGAGGGCTTTGAGGTGCGGAGGAGGGAGCGGCGCTCACCATTGTACAGATGGAGGCGAGGTTCCTGACGGTCATTTAGCACCCGGGGTTCGCGTCCGCCATCTTTGACGAAAACACCACTTCGAAGGACCCCAGCCCGGGCCCACGCCCCCCACTCCCCAACTGGCGCGAGGTGGCCGCGGCGCTCCACAACGGTGGTGCCTGCTCAAAAGACAACTTTCGAGCCATAGACTTGGGTTACGTATTGGCTTAACACGTAGGCTTTCTCGACCAATATTCATTATATCGGTATTTTTTTTTTGGGGGGGGGGGGGGGGGGCGAGGCGGGGCGCGGATTAGATCGCGTAAATACAAATGTGTCTTTAAACCCGCCAACCGACACATTTATGTTTCCACGATCTAACCCAGTGGTTGGGTTTCACATAGCTGCCAACCCTTACAGTTTTATTAAGCCCCTTATTCTTGTACAGGTAAATTGAGTTATCAGGTACATGCGGCGTACAGCCGTTTCGATACGGGCAACAACATTTCGCTCCTGACACAGATATTCTGCGTTGACTTTTCCACCTGAAGACGGAAGCTTGTTTTTTTTGCCTCCGAAACGTCGTGATTTAATTGTTTTATTTTGTTTTATTTTATCTACGTGACTTTAACCGAATAAAACCAAAGAGTATGAATCCTTGCAGTCACGAAAGCTAACAAATCTAGAATTAACATTTTGTTTGTCTATAATGTTGGTGTTTCTCCCCTTGTGATGGGACTTTGTAGGATGAACTTTGAGATTTATAAGGGACACGTTGTGACCAATAAGGTCTGAATTGGTCTGTAATAAGGTAGGGCACTCAATAGGGGTTGACAGGTTTGCACTATAAACACCAAAACAATACTATACACCCCTATACCCTATTATACACTACACTACAATATAACTATTATGCACACCACTATACACTACAATACCCTACACTATACACTACACGATACCATACCTGTCAACCCATACGGTTTATTCCGTATTATTCTAGAGGGGAAATTGAGTTTTCAGGTCCATACGCCGTACAGCCGTTATAATACGGGCAAAAAAATATATGTTTGTGTTTCTCCCTTTGTGATGGGACTTTGTAGGATGAACTTTGAGATTTATAAGGGCACGGGGTGACCAATAAGGTCTGAATTGGTTTGTAATAAGGTAGGGCACTGATAAGGGGTTGACGGGTTTGGGTTAAGTGCAGGCGATACAAACTGGTAACAACGTGACAAGCCAATTGAACGCAGGCGTCATTAACACCGTGGACTTTAAATTATATATAATAGTCGACGTTTCGGGCAATAACCCTTCTTCATAGTACGTTAAAAAATTACTTTCTCTCCAAATAAAAGTACAGCATAAGAAATTAAAGTACACTGCATAGTAACCCATACTGACGCCTACCGAAAACCTGATTCCCACCACCATCCATCCCAGAAGAATTCCCTCATCACAACGCTACACTGTAGAGCTCAATGTATCTCCGACCATGAACACCTGACCAGTGAACCCAAACACGTACACCAAGCTCTCAAGGCAAATGGATATTCTGACTACACAATCCGCAAAGCCATCACCCCAACCGTGAGGAAGGAGCCATCTGAAGATCCAATCGAAACCATCACCCTGCCATGCATAGCTGGGTTAATCAAAACTATTTCCAAAATCATGAATAAACACAAGATCCAGGTCCGATTAAACACTACGTAAAAATCGTGATCTGATCCCATCTGTGAAGGACAAGATTCCTGACATGCAATATCCCGGCGTCTACAAACTAAGCTGTATCTGCAGTTACATTGGGGAAACTAAGCGACATGTCTCGGACCGTGTTCGTGAACATAAACCAGATTTAAACACGGTAGGACCAATACTTCTGCCGTGGCTGATCATTATTTTAATGCGGCTGGCTCACACGAAGTTGATTTCTCTAAGACGATGGTACTTTGCAAGCCTACTGGCTATCAACAAAGATTCGTTCATGAAGCCATCCATATATACAGACACAGAGACAATTTCAACCGAGAGGAAGGTTATAGACTCAGCAATCATTGCAAAGATGTCATCAACCACTTTGGGTCATGACTTGACTTTGTTTTCTTGTCAATCAACCTCCACCGTCAGCAGTGTGGTGTGTGGAGCTGAGTGCAGGGATTTCCTGGCAGCCCTTTGCTGCATTGGCATTGCTGCTGCTGCATTGGCATTGCTGCTGCATTGCCATAGTTGCTGCATTGGCATTTCTGCTGCATTTGCATAGTTTCTGCATTGGCATTGTTGCTGCATTGGCATAGTTGCTGCATTGGCATTGCTGCTGCATTGGCATTGTTGCTACATTGGCATTGCTGCTGCATTGGCATTGTTACTACATTGACATTGTTGCTGCATTGGCATTGCTGCTGGATTGGCATTGCTGCTGCATTGGCATTGTTACTACATTGGCATTGTTGCTACATTGGCATTGTTGCTACATTGGCATTGTTGCTGCATTGGCATTGTTACTACATTGGTATTGTTGCTGCATTGGCATTGTTGTAACATTGGCATTGTTGCTACATTGGCATTGTTGCTACATTGGCATTGATGCTGCATTGACATTGCTGCTGCATTGGCATTGCTGCTGCATTGGCATAGTTGCTGCATTGGCGTTGTTGCTACATTGGCATTGCTGCTACATTGGCATTGCTGCTGCATTGCAGCTGCATTGGCATTGTTGCTGCATTGTTGCTACATTGGTATTGCTGCTGCATTGGCATTGTTGCTACATTGGCATTGTTGCTACATTGGCATTGCTGCTGCATTGGCATTGCTGCTACATTGGCATTGTTGCTGGATTGGCATTGTTGCTACATTGGCATTGCTGCTGCATTGGCATTGTTGTTACATTGGCATTGCTGCTGCATTGGCATTGCTGCTACATTGGCATAGTTGCTGCATTGTTATTGCTGCTACATTGGCATTGTTGTTACATTGGCATTGCTGCTGCATTGGCATTGCTGCTACATTGGCATTGTTGCTACATTGGCATTGCTGCTACATTGGCATAGTTGCTGCATTGTTATTGCTGCTACATTGGCATTGTTGTTACATTGGCATAGTTGCTGCATTGGCATTGTTGCTGCAATGCCATTGCTGCTGCAATGCCATTGCTGCTGCAATGGCATTGCTGCTGTATTGGCATTGCTGCTGCATTGGCATTGCTGCTGCATTGTTATTGTTGCTGAATTGGAATTGTTGCTGAATTGGCATAGTTGCTGCATTGGCATTGCTGCTGCATTGGCATTGCTGCTGCATTGGCATTGCTGCTGCATTGTTGCTACATTGTTATTGCTGCTGCATTGGCATTGCTGCTGCATTGGCATCGCTGCTGCATTGGCATCGCTGCTGCATTGGCATCGCTGCTGCATTGGCATCGCTGCTGCATTGCCATCGCTGCTGCATTGGCATCGCTGCTGCATTGGCATCGCTGCTGCATTGGCATTGCTGCTGCATTGGCATTGCTGCTGCATTGGCATTGCTGCTGCATTGCCATTGCTGCTGCATTGGCATTGCTGCTGCATTGGCATTGCTGCTGCATTGGCATTGCTGCCCCGCCCATGCTCCTGGTGTTGCTGACACACTTGGGCTACGCCCATCCCCAGACTTTTATAAAGTTTGCCTTTTGAGGCTGACTCCTTTGCCTGATGACGACCGCTTGTGTTGCGATCGAAACGTCGTGTTATTTGTATCCACTTTATTTTTTTTCGATCTACGTGATTTTACTGAAAGAACCAAAGAATAGTACTTTTAAATTTTGATTTAAAGCTTTCGTGACTGCAGTAATTCATATTCTTAGCTCTTTCAGTAAAGTCACGTTGAAGGGAAACAATAAAATAATAAAATATATGTAAAACAATAAAAATTCTCACGACGTTTCGACCATAACACAAACGGTCATCATCAGGTGTTGGTTTTTCACACCTGATGATGACCGTTTGTGTTATGGTCGAAACGTCGTGAGAATTTTTATTGTTTTATATATATTTTATTGTTTCCCTTCAACGTGAATTTACCGAAAGAGCTAAGAATATAATCGTACTTTTAATTAATTGTATTTCTTTTGTGGAGATATAGGTATGTGAAGGAGTAGACCAGTGGTTGTCAACACTTTTTGGCTACTGATAACCCTCTTGTTGAAGTTTGTTTCAACCTTTTAGGAATAAATGTCATTCATTCATGAACGTCAATATTTTAAACGATTGTTCATTTTGTGAAGTATGACCTAAGCTAGTAACTGCAAGTGGCGAATAAAACTAAAATCAACGGAGGCCTCTACATGCAGGACGTAATGTGTTCGCTCGCTGGCTGCACTTGTAAGCCACATTGTTTACCATCAATGAGTTTATAAAGGTATTTTATGTTTGATTTAAAGCTTTCGTGACTGCAGGGATTCATATTCTTGGTTCTTTCGGTAAAGTCACGTAGAAGGGAAACAATAAAATAATATAAAAAATATATAAAACAATAAAATTCTGCTTGTGTTGCAGTCGAAACGTCGTGATAATTTTATTGTTTTATATTTTTAATATTTCATTGTTTCCCTTCTACGTGACTTTACTGAAAGAACCAAGAATATGTCTTTTATATCGTTCTAGGCTACCATATGGATTAACATTTTATCGTAGTTATGTTATATTGGCAGATTCATACTCAACAATGACTCTCGTTTAAGGTATAATTTCACACGCGTATACATCACCTCACGTACCCCCAGTTTGAGAACTACTGGAGTATACGTATCGTCTGCTTATATATTTTGTTACCTATATTCTCCACAACGACGCCAATTGTTACTTTGTGTTACTCTGTTCAATGCTTTTCAGCAGCATTATATTTTTTTACAAAGGTAGAAAGCCCTGCCTGCAATGAATGTAAATTGTTCAAAGTTCAAGTCTCATCAACAGTCTGACAAGCCGCACTAAAATCCCGGTTAATAAACCGGCAGTCAAATTTTGATTTAAAGCTTTCGTGACTGCAGGGATTCATATTCTTGGTTCTTTCGGTAAAGTCACGTAGAAGGGAAACAATAAATAATAATAAGAAAATATATAAAAACAATACAATTTTCTTGTTGTGGTTTTCA